CCAGTAAAAACTTTATACTACTATAAAAAAATGTTAGATATCCGAAATACTTATTTTTCATATTAAAAAAGAATTTTTTGAAACGCTTGCAGTTTTGTTGTGTATAAGGGTGAGATTACAGCTCATAAAAAATTTACAAATAATGTTTCTAAATAAGACGTAAAATGACACAGTAACTTATGAAATATGTTTACAAAGTTTTATTAAGGAATAAAAATGATAAATATGTATATGGAGTAATACATATTATACATATATTTCATGTAATGTATTTATTGCATTTAGTGCACTGCAGCATTGACAAAGACTAATGTTTTTTTTTTAAGAATAAAATGTTATATTTCTTTTTAATAACATTTTTAACCCTTCAAATACGCTTTAAACAGTATTATAAAAAAATATATTTAAAACATATTACACACAAACATCGATTAAGCATTGTTAAAACTGTTTAAACATGTTTAAAATATGCTTTTTTACCAATTCTGGTGCATTGCATCCAATCTGCGCACTTTATATAATATGTTTTAGGCAGAAATTTCATCTGCTAAAAATCCCGAACAGATACATAGAATATACAAGACATCAAGCTGAAAGAATATAAGAGCTAAGAACTCATATTTTTTTACTATCCCTTTACATTTATCACTTACGTATCACTAAATAACTATTTAGCCTTTTGCAATTTCTACAATAATCATTTTGTGTTGATTATGATATATGATTGCATTATTTATCACAGTGACGAATCGATTCAACTCATAGTAATTTTATTAATATTAACAGTAGAAAACTGAACTCATAGCACAATACTAATATAACATAAAGACATAATAAAGTGATTTGCGTGAGCACTCCACTTGTTCTATTTTTCCTAACTTCTGTGGCGTAAATATCGGAGTTATCTTATATATGGCCAAGGTTGTATATATCAGTCAATTGTGAAATTATATCACACATATATCTGATGAATATATTTCAATCTGTTTTCTCTAAAACGTTGTACTAAAAAGTCTTTTTATTTTTAAATTATTTGCTCACTGCTTCTTTAATTTATCACAAATCATGCTTTATTCTTGTATCGTGTCAAAATAAAAGATAATGTACCTAATTTATTAAAATGTACGATCACATGAAGGGCAAACGTACACAATCGTCAAAAACATTAGAGTTCTAAAGTTCTAAAGTTACTTAGATAATTCGGTCGTTTTTGTAATCACTACAGTAGACTTTCTGCAACAATAGCGGCTTTTGGCACTCGTATCGTACGTTACTTTTATGTCGGGACACGGTTGCACGTGTCCTGGAAGTTTCACGAAGCACCCTTTTAGCCAAGACTTCTTTTTCGTCCTTCACACAGCGACGCTTTCACATGAACAAACACCTTGCGACGAAACTTTGCTATTATTCGCGTGTCTTTGCGACACAAATGTGAGAGCTCATGAACGTTAATTCTGTGAAGCCGCCATTACCTAGGGACGGCAGATTCTCGCGTTATATTTTATTTTGATTTTCCCTCGCGCGCAAAAGCTTCCCTGTTCTCCTTGCCGTTGTTTTCTTTCATTACAATGAATCGAGAAGAACTTTTACTTTTTCTAATTCCTAGTATTATTATGAATTACACTTATCCGTTAAGTTGAGGCACTATAATACGTGTACACGACGCATTTTTATTTATCTCAATTCGTGAGCTTTTTAGCTAATATTTTTTAATGTATTATCAGGATATTTCTTTTTAGTAACAAAATAGATAAAATTATAATTAAGTTACATGCAGTTAATCTGCTTACATTCGATCTTTAATGAACAATGCTATCTATTTCTATGCTAATCTATTTCTATGCTACAGTCTTGGCATTATAAGAACAAAGAGGGTAACCTCCAATTTATTAATTTTCCTGGGAAAGGCGATAGTAACAAAATTAAAGAAAAATATTAAAATTGTCATAAGAATAAATACTATTTTAAAATTATTTTTAATTTACATTTCGTCAATTTACGGGGATGTCGGACGATTTGGGTTTGTCGCGCCATTCCGAATGTATTCTGAATGTATGATCAAAGGCTATATGCAATGACATAATGACAATAACGACTTACGTTTGAGAGATCGAGGTTTTGCCTGCTTCCTCCTGGACATATCACCGCACTGGCACGCACTTACGAACGTGGACGGGAACACGGGGAATCAATAGTCGCTCCTTGCTGGCATGTCCACAACCGCACTCGTCGAGAACTCGACTTTTGACAGCAACTTTACCTGTACGCGACGTACTTCTCGCCGTGGGCGATTTTATTCAGGAAGAACGCCCGCGATTGAGCGTGATCGCGCGCGCGAAACTCAATTCGGGGGGACACGCCGTGAAGTCAACTTCGAAGATTAGCGCGCGCCGGCGGGAATCGGAGCGAGTGATACCACGTGGTCTTGCGGTGCACGAAAGGCGTATTAACAGACACGCGCCTCGCACACAGACCCGCGGCGACAGCCGCGCTCGGAGGACGCGCGACGAATGACATGGATGCGTCGCGTCTGCGGAGAACCACTGGCGCCGAGCATTACGCAAGCGTGGAATCAGCGCAACTGTCCTGCGCGCGCGATACTCGTCACACGCTTTTTTTTAATTTCTTTCAGATTTTTGACGATGGAAAAAGTAAACGATATACGACCGGAGAAAATACTTTTCTATACGATTTTTCTGTGCGACTTTCTCATAGATTCGTAGACGTTTGTTGCAGTGTAGAATTTTCCTTCTCGCTTTCGCCAAATTCAAACATATATTTCACTTTAAATACAAAAATGTAGACTAATTTAGTTGTAGAAAAATACTCTTATTAATTGAGTCGGTATCACTGATATATATGTAAGCTAGGAAACTGTTATGAAGAGATTATTTCAATAATATTAATTAAATATTTGTTACACTCGAATTGCAAGCCCCATCACGAACGCGTCTGCATCCTTCCGCGCTACAGAAATGAAGAAAACATACGTTTTCTAGAAACGAGCAAAACCGTTTTATTTGTTACACATACACAGCGGAAGAATGCGCGATCAACATGAAGATGTGAAAACGGTCCAGTTCATCAACTGGTCATCTCGATGACCCGCTCTTCAACTTTAATACATCGATCACTCATCTCAATTTGCTCGGAAACAGCACAACACGCGGACATCAACACTATGCGGGCATAATAGGGTAAAGTCCGCTTATTATTATAGGTTTTCAATATGAGATAGCAGGATTTCTGCTAAACTAATAAGCGCATATAGTGGTTTTATTATGAACATGTTATACTCACAGAGTGAAACATATATTTATAGTAAATGACTCATTATTATTGTAGATCATGCATGTAGTAGTTGTGAAAAAAGATTTTTGAATGTCGAATTTTATTGAGGTCAGTTTTCAAACCTTGTTTTATTATATAATAAATAAATATACTTGGTAATAAAGTCTGCATGCAGTGATAGAGTAAAGTATTAATAGGAAAATGCCAGATATGATGATGAATTTTTGAATTGTAAAAATTAGATTGGAAGATTTTCTTACAACTACGATCACTTATAACTATATGATATACGTTTACGCAATTGTAGGTCAGGTTTTAAATCTATTCTACAACTATTTACAACTATGCTTACGCAATTGTAGAATGGGCTTATGATATTTTAAAAATGTCACGTAAACATCTCTCTTTCTGATCTGACAGTTCCAAAAAATGTTCTTATAAATTTGAAGACGTCTTTATTATGATGTCTGTCTTATAAGACGTTTTAATATTCCTTGGGAGAGCTTCGTAATTTTGCTTTTCTTCATGACATGTGCTGAGTTATTTAATTTCTGGACTTTTAAGCTTCTCCATACAGTTTCCTGCTTTAGCCCAGACTTTCAATGAATTTTTAAGCCTTAAGCTGTAAGAAATGGACGAATAACAATCAATTATTCTCCTCATATTCGACTGTAATTGATCAATTTCTTATGACTTAAGGCTTAAAACACCTATTGTAGATCCCTTTATTATAGCCTATTGCAACGAAATACCAAGCGTCTTTCTGAGATCGATCCATATATTCTGCTCCAACCGAAGAATTTTCTCGTTCTTCCTCTGAAAGCACAGGATCCCCTTTCAGATACTTTTTTTCCGAAAGATGGTCAGTCTTCCAAATGTAAAATTTGGAATGTATTAAGAGGATGCTGGCATGGCCACAAATATTGTCGAGACATTATTATTACAGATAAAAATATCGATAAAAATTCTTCGAATTTACTGAACGGAATAACAAATCCTTTTACAGGATTAAAGTAAACGCGCAAGTTAGACGTGCAAAAAACACATTAGAGGAGATGCTGGACTTTTTATAATAAAATTGAAAGAAAAAATTTGAAACTTACCCTTTTTAACTTGTAGAGTTGTCGCTTGTTGTAGGTGTTTCTTAAACAAAAGATCGTTCGTAATTTTGTCTCAACAAAGACAATCGTAATACCTGCGGTGTATTAAATATATTATATATGTGTAATATCTGGTGTATTATTAATGTATTATTATATATATGCACAAACAATACTCAGTTTACAGAACTAAGATTGAAAACTTAAAAAAAAAGATCGATCTACAAATTACGTATATGTGAATGCTAAGTGAAGATTTAGAATGATAAATAAAATAGATAGTAATATTGTGTCTCTAGCATGAGTAGGTGTTCGATCTTGCAAGAGATGACATTGCAATATGTTATATAAAGACAGATCCTAATATATTTGAGTAGAGAGAAATCTGAGTATGAACGTCCTGATTCATTTTGTGTGTCATATTTCGTAGGATAATATCCACGTCTTTGTAGTTCTTGGTAGTTCTTTTCTATACTATTACGTGGGTTAAACAAGGACAAACAATCAACTTTAATTATTCGTTCCTGTCTAACCCACGACCCACGTAATAGTATGGAAAAGAACCACAAAAACGTGGATATTACCTTATGAGATTTCATACACGAAAAAGGCCGGGAACGTCCACTCACTGGCTTCTCTGATGGGAGTATTTTTGTGGTAATTCACCGGGAACTTTTATTCCGTCAGTGCTAAGACGTGCAATTGTCTGATCTATTGTATGCATGACATTTCGTCATTCATTGATGCTATCATCACACGTAAGCTGATCAGTTCTTTCGTTTTTCATCGACTGTTCTGTATAGGTTAGGATAAGTTCAACACGTAATTAGTTAATATACATGTATCAAAGCGACAAAGAGAAAAAGACATAATTATGTCTTAATAACTTTCATTAAGGTGTCAATTTTCTTGTTTACTTCTCTCTAAATTTTGTCATGACTAAAATTCTTTAGTAGCTGAATTGATGCATACTCATGTATGCTTGTATATGTTAAAAAATAAAATATAGATATATTTGAAATTTGGTGAAAGTGAGACAAAAAATTTTAATATGCTTTTATATAACAATTTAGAACAGATGTGAAAACAGGCTTCTTGTTGTAGAAAATGTTGGCGTTTGAGCGCATACCTGATCAAATCGGATACTTGGTATTAACTGAGGATGGTGCTGTATTAACAGTAAGAAACAGTTTCTATGATACTTTTCTTTTCTTTGTAATAACAAATAGAAACTTTTGTATTTGTGTTGCAGTCTGGAGGAGATTTAGAAAATGATGAAAGAGTGGCAAATATTATCAGCAGTTTGGTAACATTGACGAATAAAGTTGATCCTAAGGCATTTCCGTTGCATGATCCTTTTGAAAAAATCTCGATCAAATATAAGGATCATTGCTATGTTGTGTGCCTATCTAATAAGAAGATTTACGTAGTGAAGAGAAAGCTGCCATCTCCAACTACAGCAATTGTTGAACAGCAATCTATTGTCGATGTTTAGTTATAATAATAAACCTCCATAATAAATATCCACAAAACAATAAATCTACTCTTTGTAAACTTTGATATCTAACACAAATTTAATTTCTTTGATCATTGCAAGAGATCTATTCATTGTTAGGTATCTTTAAAAATATATGTACTTTAAGAATAAAATCAGTGCAATGTGTAGTTTTAAGAAATATTGACTGCATTCAACGGAAAAAGCAGCTTTGTAATTGTAAATTTTTTAAATAATTGGTTTATATCATATATTTAGAGAGGAACTAATAATTACACATTTAGAACTAGAAATTAGCTTTATTATACATATATATGCTATACTATAATATAGCTAAGAACTAATTTGATTTATATATTCAAATCCACTAAGGAGCTATAGGAGCAAGAATTAATGATACTGAAGAATCATAGAACAGTTGCAAAGATGCTTTTTCTATTGAACGTTGTCAATACATGTTTCCGTTATATGTATGATAGCTTCTTTCGACTTTTCAAATAAAATATTCTTCCAATATGTAACTTGAAAATTATAGCTATGATATAAGCCTCAAAATATATTTATCAAAATATTTTTTTAGTAATTTGTTATATACAGTGTTGTACTTTACTCTTAATTTTAATTAATGCATCTATTGAAACAGATTAATTTTCGTAGTCTGTTATATTTACAAATATATATTATATATCATATATACACTTCGAGATAGGTATGTAAAATACTAAGTATCACTATCAGTACTGGAACTGTCGTAATTGACCAGAGATATATTCGAGCTACTAGTTTTGGAGATAGTAGCATTATTCGTTATTTTCTGTATTTTTGGTGATTCCTGACTTTGTATTTTTAATCGGTCGTTCGAAGAAGATATCTTTTTTTTATTTTTGGATCGTACAATTGAAACTAACCGTTTCAATTTTGTACCTCCTTTCCTTGCATCTAAAAAAAAAAAACAGCATTTATAAAAGCATAAATATGTAACAAGACAATGCATTTTACAAATTAAGTGCTAAATAAATACCTTTCTTATGAGTAAGTAATTTTGCTAGTTTGATGTCATCTTCATGTTCGTTTACCAAATTAATATCCAATCCAGTCTTTTTTAGTAATGCATGATCTTCTGCTTGCTTCTTCTGAAGTTCCTTTTTCTTGTCCTATAATATAAAACGTATAAGTCACTCAGTAAAAATTCAAATTAACTAGTAATTTTTTGTTCAAACTGCTTGATATTTTATCTATATAAAAGAACATAATATAAAATAATTTATATTATACATGGATACATAATGATGACATATGATGCAATATTGATACAGAAAACTTTCATAATAACTTTTGCAATTTTTTAAACCATTATGAAATACATGTATTTAACAAATATATTAAACGCGAACAAAAATACTGTCAATGGTGATACTATCCATGCAACATGATTAGAGTAACACGGAACTTGTTAACAAAATTAAATAATACTTAATTTATAAAAACTGTTTTAAAATTATTTATATATTATTTTTTAAAATATTTGCGCATTGTTTACCGCCCGATTTTTCAATTGCTCTGTATATATCAGTTATTTTGTTTTTAAAATTAAATATATATATACTTTGTGAAACGATTACAAAAATTAATTTCATAACTGTACCCGAAATAAAGCTCTCACTGCGCAATTTGAGCTGTAATCATCTTTCCAAATACTCTCATTTAAGATTATTGCATCTTCCAGTACTGAATTTCGAGATTTTGCTACTTTCTTATCTTCCATGCCATGCTCCAACTTGTACATTGCATCATCATACAATCTGCACGAGACTTCTTTCGTTTCAGGTACTACTTGCTCATTTTGTTTAGGATCCCATCGATTTTCTTGACGTCTCGCACCACTCACTATGACATAATCCAGATTCTAAAAAGACAATAGAAATATTAGCAAATATTTCAAAAACAATAATTTATTTGCATCAACAATTGTATAATTCTAACTTACTGCAGGATCAGTTTTTATTTCAAAATGATTGTCACAGAGATGACACTTCATGCGAAATTCATACAGCGGAGTGCTATAGTACATTCCAATCTTCTTTTTCTCCGCATTATATCTAACACCCATGCCGATATGATTCCCACATCCATTGCACCATATATTGTAGGGCATCTCAAATCGTATGATTAAAATACCCATGTGTAGTTTGCGGGCCCGCTCACGCAATGCATGAGTACCTAAGAACTTATTAAGACCACCGGCACGGGGATCATAATCTGGTGGATAGTATAAATTTGTTCCCTTTCGTTCTCCCATTGTGCTATAATTTATTTCAACAAAAAATCAATTAGAAAGATAAACATCTAGCAACATTGATTATAAATAACTATGTATATTGAGTAATAATTAGCATTAAAAAAATTTTTTTTCTTATGACTACAATTTGTATAATTTCCTTCAAAAGTGATATAAAATTATAACTTTTTATAACTGTAATTTATTATTATGAATGACTGAATGAGTTAGGTATAAAGATTATCAATAATTCAAAATTAATTAAAAATAAATTAAACTTCACAATTCTCATTTGTTAAATAGCATTTGTATCATACTTGACGTTTCAACGAGATCATAACATTTTCTACAAGATGTATAATCAAGAGTAAGTAAGGATGTTCTATTCAAAAAAACCACTGTGACCTTAATCTGACATTGGTAACGCCATCCAAGGTCAAACTGATAAAAGTAGATAGATCTTTTTAAAACGTGTAACACTTTTGTTTGAAACATTTTTCCAACAAACCAACACTTTATGAAATTTTGATACGTACTGTATGTATATTTTGAGTTAAGTTACTTTTGATTACTTATTCCTAAATCTGTCATAATTTTATAAGATATTAAAATCATAACAACTCAAAAAGGATGGTTTTCTAAAGATTGTAAAATGTAAATGATAATAATAACATTTAATCATATTTACGATACTTTATTTTGATATTATTTGATTAGTTTAATAACTTAAATTAATAATTTTCTATTAATTAGAGATTAATAATTATCTTTCAAATTAGAAAAATTAATAATCTTTTGTTTAAAATAATTTTTACCTTTTTCTAAAAAAATCTAATTTTTTAAATTATATAATTTTGAAATGAGAAATGTACACTACCTATCTGTACAATATAATAAATATTACAATAAACGTTTCATTATACCTTGATTCCTTTTTAAAGCTTAATAAAAAATAAAATAACTGGAGTTTCCAAATAATCTCTCTCTCTCCTCTCTCTTTCTTTCACTATTTCCCTCTCTCTGACAAGTATGTCTATTCCAATAGACTCCTCTGACGTTGATGTTTTTCAGTAAGATAGGTTAGAATACGATTAAACTTTTCAAAGCTTGAGAAGAAATATTTGAAGAGCTTCAGTGGTTTCAGAAACGATCTATCTCGTCAGATATATGTAGACTCTTGTGTTGTTGTTTATTAAATGACCACATAGTATATATATGACCGTGTATGACGTCTTTCAACAAAATAGGTTAGCAAATAATGCGATATTTATATCGACTAATATCATTCGACATCGACATTGGTCGCGTTCAGCAGTGATGCCAGATGTGGCTCCCACTCGCGTAAGCGCGATCAACTGCTGCGGAACGGATCCGTGAGCGCTCGCTGCTATTGGATGATCTAAAAGAATACACCAATAATAGCGAACGCTACGGATCCGCTCCGCTCGGCACAGTCAAGGTTGATTTACACTGGCCGTAAACTGTTAACTTATGCCGTAATCTGTAAAAATTAACCAATCACAGTCGAATGAGAGAAACCTTCAGGCGAGAAACACACTCTTTTGCATAACGCATAATGCTAAGTGCATAAGAAAATTAACCAATCTGAATCCCTCCCTTCCTTCCACTTTACGGAAAAGAAGAACTTTGATTGGCTGATTCTCTTATGCACTATACGTTATGTAAAAGATTGTGTCTGAGCTCTTACATATTTGAGAGAGATATCGAAAGATGTAGAGAATAAAGGCATTAGTACATAAAAAAAACTAAAAACGGCTTAAGCCGTGGCACACAAAGAACTTAAGTTGATGATGGACTCGCCTGTATTATCGATAAAACTATATACATTAGCATAAATATTAAAATCGTGGGAAAGGTATTTTTATCCTGCGAAATTATGAAGAAATTAGGAATGAAAACGTCAAACACGCTAGTGTTTTATCGGTAAGGGTTGGATTTTACTGGCTGTAATCTATTAACTTATGCCGTAATCTTGACAAATGCCGTAAAAATTGACCAATTATAATCGATTATTCCCCTCTCATTCGACTGTGATTGGTCAATTTATACAGATTACGGCATAAATTAACAGATTACGGCCAGTATAAATCAACCCTAATACAAGCGGCTCTAACTTCCCCTTAAAGGTTGCCGCACACACCATATATAACAGTAATTATAAGATATACCGTAAGAATAAGCCAATCACAGTCGAGAATTCATTGGAACTATTAATTCTGATTGGCTGACTCTTACGATATGTTTTATTAATACTTTTACGGAAGGTGTGTGTGTGTACGGGCATCCTAAGAGTAATGATTTTCTTTGTAGGGTTAAAAACAACTACGGTGTATTAATTAGAATGCCATGATGAAACAGTACACAGTGATTATAAAAAATTGCTTTACGATTACTAATTTTTTGACTTAAGAATAAATGAAATTATTAGAAGGGTTAAATTTTCATAAACATTTGTCAGTCCATTGATTACACTTTTGAGGCTTTCACGGGTATTTTCTTCAATTATGCGAGAAGGTTTGCGGGTTATCGCCGTGTCTCCCTTCATTTTTAATGCCGATGTTTCGTGAACCGTACCATTCACTTTAACAGGGCGAGGGTTGCGCTGATGAAGTGAACGATACGGTTCACGAAACGTTGGCATTAAAAATGAAGAAAGACACGGCGATAATCCGCAAACCTTCTCGCATATTTGTCAGTCCATTTTATGAATCGTCGGATAACAATAAGTTGCGTTAGGCTGAGTATATCTGTGTCCGTTTCTTCCGAGT